GACCACAGCTCCGGTCGGCCGCCTCAACAATGGAGGCACAGAACAGGGTCCATTCAGACTCAATGTCCCCCGTCTCCCCCGGAACATTTTTGGAAGTTCTGTCGGAGGTGGGAATTGAAGCTCCTTTTGACAGGAGACTCTGCCAGACATTCCCAGCAGACCCTCGCGATACATTTGGGCCTGCCTGGTCTGACCGGCATCCTCCCCCACCATCTGAGCCAACTCACCACCAGGTAGTGGTCAGTTAGCAGCTCCTCCCCTCTCTTCACCTGAGTGTCCAAGACATGGGGCCGCAGGTCAGATGAAACAACAACAAAGTCGATCATCGAGCTGCAGCCTAAGGTGTCCTGGTGCCAAGAGCACATATGGACACCTTTATGTCTGAACATGGTGTTCATTATCGACAATCCATGACTGGCACAGAAGTCCAATAACAAAACACCAATAGAATTCAGATCAGGGGTTCGTTCCTCCCAACCACACCTCCCCAGGTCTCACTGTCGTTGTCCTCTTGAGCGGTAAAGAGGGAGTCACTGGAAGGAGCGCTTTCCAGCACCCCCTCCAAGGTCTCCACAAAGGGTGGGTAGTCTGAACTGTAGTTTGGTGCATAAGCACAGACCACAGTCAGAACCTGAACCTGTCCCCCCACACGTAGGTGGAGGGAGGCTACCCTCTCATTCACTGGGGTAAACCCCAACGTACAGGCACCAAGATGAGGGGCAACTAGTATGCCCACCCCTGCTCGGCGCCTCTCAGTGGGAGCAACTCCAGAGTGGTAGAAAGCCCAACCCCTCTCAAGGAAACCGGTTCCAAAGCCAGAGCCATGCGTTGAGGTGAGTCCGACTATATCTAGTCGGAACCTCTCAACCTCACACACCAACTCAGGCTCCTTCCCCACCAGAGAGGTGACAGTCCATGTGCCAAGAGCCAGCTTCTGTAGCCGAGGATCAGACCGCCAAGGTCCCCGCCCTCAACTACCACCCGTCACACACTGCACCCAACCCCTTTGTCCCCTCCCACGAGTGGTGAGCCCATTGGAAGGGGGACCCACGTTTCCTCTTCGGGCTGTGCCCGGCTGGGTTCCATGGGTGAAAGCCTGTCCACCAGGAGCTCGCCAACATTCCCCACCTCCAGGCCTGGCTCCAGAGGGGGGCCCCGGTGACCCACGTCCGGGCGAGGGAACACGGTTTCCATTTATATAGTTCATCATAAGAGGTCTTCAGGCTGCTCTTTGTCTGATCCCTCACCCAGGACCTGTTAGCCATAGGTGACCCTACCAGAGGTAGAAAGCCTCAGACAACTTAGCTCCTAGGATCATTGAGACAGTCAAACCCCTCCACCACGGTAAGGTGGCAGCCCTGGGAGAGTCACCGGAAGGTATTAAAATTTTTCTAATTTTTCTGATTTTTTTTAGTATTCTATCTTTTTTATTTCTTTGTTTTATTTTTGTTCTTGTGAAGCGCCTCATGATTTTTATCTTGAGAGGTGCTATACAAAAGTACCTGTTTCCTGACTACGCAGAGGAAGGGTTTGGCCCCTCTCTCTACACAATCAGGATAAACAGTACTTTGGTTGGCAGCCATGGTGAAAATGCTCGCTAAAACATAAACAAATGTCCCCAAACCACTAAGAGATTAAGCAAGCTAGCGGCTAGTGCTAGCATTATAATTGGTTGTGGTGCCCTTCAACGATTCATAATTGTGTATGCCCGCATTGTAGTGTATCAATTATTAGATCATTTTTCTCATTTTATTACATTTTATTTATTTAGTATTTCCACATTAGAAGATGTTGGGCAGCTCAGATTAAAGCAGAAGTTCACTGAGAAGCATTTAACTCCTTTTCCACACTGGTAGCATCAGCGTCGTGTATTGACAACGTATTGGTTTACTCGACAGCTTTGCTGTGAGACAGTACACATGGGAGAAACTCTGCTGTGCTCCTCGCTTAACTCGAGATCACAAAATCCCTCAAGACTTCAATGTTCATGTTTCATCCGGACCAAAATAAGTGACGCACATACACACAGCACTGAATGCACACGCGAGTAGCGAATGTAACTTAACCTTCTCTAAGCCATGGCGGACAACGTGGACCCCGGTGAAGTGCAAAAAAGACAGAAAATGTCAAAGGTGTGGGACCATTTTTCACTTCGTAAGGCAGAAAACGTAGTCCAGTGTAAATACTGTAAAATGGATCTAGCCTACCACAACACCACATCCTCGATGCTGCAGCACCTGACCCGGAATTATCCACATGTAAAAGTCACTTCTGCAAGTGGACTCGGAACCTCTACAAGATAATGCATTTTAGCCTGTATTTCTATATGTTCTGCGGACACTGTGCAACTTTTTCGTTTGTAGCACTCGGTTTCAGCTCACACTGTGCGTCTGGTAGCAACACGTTGGACTTAAAATGTGCTAAGAATAGCAGTTTTTACAACACGTCTGACTTTTTACTGTGTTGTTATTGATGTCTGTTGTCCCTCGAGATTGCTGCAGGAGGACACAGGTATTTAAGAGAGTGATAGAGGAAAACGAAAGAAAGTAAATAAATGTTTTGTGATCAGTATAATTTGACATAACCACAGCAAACACGCTTTCTCGACAATCCTTGTTATTGTGTGAGAAAAGAAAGTGTAGAAATTAAAACGGACGTGTGTTAATAGGGAAATGGCTGGCGAGCCATGTTTGCGCATGCGCCATGAGCGGTTCTGGTGCTGGTAGATTCTCGCACAAGGGGAAAATTGGCTCAAGTTGTATACTTATTTTGTGCACAGGCATTTGTTTACTGTGAAGTAAAGTTGAAGTGCTGAAGTTTTGAAAACTAATTTTGAATAAAACTTGAAGAATAACCGGCAATTGCTTGCTCATTTTAAGAGGTCTTTCATATTTTATAACATGCTTTTTGATATAATGGTTTACAAACACAAAAGGGTAATTTATTAGAGTACTCGATTAATCGATAAAAGATTCCATAGAGTACTCGATTACAAAAATATTTGATAGCTGCAGCCCTACATGTTTGACATTGCAGTTTGATGTGAAATATAATGTTGTTCCTCTCCACTGCCAGGATTAAAGCCATAAAAACACATACCGGTAGTTGCACTTCTCAGAAGATGCTGGGAATAAATAAGCCGTTAGGTCACTTGTATTGACATAATCTACATAGATATGAAATTGCATCACTGCAATAGTCTTTTACTTTGAAAATTATTGGAGGTTTTACACTGAAAACGTGTGTGATTTCCTGTCTAGCCCTATGTTAACTGCGGAAACTGACATGTTCCAGACGTGGCTCGTGGCAAAAATACAACCCATACCTATCTTTAGTGGCGTGGAGAGCCGCTTCTGGGACGCCTGAAAATTTCTGCGTCGCGGCTGGTTTGAATCACCAACCCCATAATGGATGCAATTGGAAGCACTTATGTTCTGCTGCTGTTTGGCACAGCTGATGCTTCCGGTGTGAAGTAGTTGTAATACCTTTGAAATGCGATCGGTCACTCAGAGTATAACATGCAGGCTGAACGTGAAATGGTGTTCTAGGCTGACTGGAAAGAGTTAGTTTCTAATCTAAGAAATAGTGAGACCAACTGCACAACATACGGTATAAATGTTTCATTAAGATTGTGTCATTTTTATTGAATTTTAATTATTTACTTTTTTCTGTTTATAGCTGTGTGTTTTAATGGTGAATGTTTTGTAACTTGGAGTGATTTGTGCTGCCGCCTATCTTGACCAAGTCTCCCTTGAAAAAGAGAATCAGAATTGTGTTATATTGCCAAGTAAACAAGAGTCTTAACATGGTGCAAACATACAAGTGAAAAATAGGATGCATCAAAAAAAGATTATAAATAATAAACATAAGAAACATAAAAAATTGAATAAAACTGAATAGTATAGCCTTACTAAATAACATATAATACAAAATATTTCTAATGTTGCATTAACCTTATCAAATCATGTCTTCCTATTTTTATTACATTCTGTTTCCTGTTGCTCTTATTGTGAAGGAATTTAAAGAAGTCATACCTTAGTTTGACTTTGTCAGGATAATAAAGACCTTAATCAGACTTGTTTGGCTAAACAATAATAACAACAATATGGAGCATCCACCCCTCCTTTACTCTGCTTTTCAGAACAGTTATTTTTGTATTTTTGAAGCCCATAAGTCACCAGACTACACAGCCCTGCTCAGTAATCAGACTTCATGGGTTTTCGAACTCGTCAAGTCTTTTTGGTGTTTATGTAAAAAGATAATGTATTGATAGTTTAGCAGAGGCAACAGAGAGAGATTTACTTGAAAAAATGCATCAGTGTTGAAATTTAAACTAATCACTTTTTAAGGATTATGTTTACTGTAATCTGTTTTTTCTAGATGATACAAATATTTAGTTTGAAGTGGGGGGTGTAAAGTGTTTTTGAAGATGGTTACAAATCAAATATGTAAACTAGTAAAAGGTTTTTAATAGAAAATATTGATAAACTGTGATAATATTAAAGTAAGTGCATTGTTACATCCTCTTTAATAAGTTGCTTTGGATAAAAGCATCAGCCAAATATATAAAAATAAAAATGAAGGTATGTGATATAATGATACAGTAAATTATAGCAATTAGAATCATAACCCTCATATAGTGTAATTAGTGTGAAGCAGCCATGTAACCTAAAACTAAACTAGCTAAACAGAACTATACATTATACGGATTACATCAAAGAGCCATACGCTTATTTAATAAAGCTGTTTTCATGAGAATACTAAGATTTTATACTATACTTAAAACTTGGACAAAGTCTGGTATAAAACTGAATAAGCATATGCAGCTTACACACGCATGTATATCAACATGTAACACACACACACACACACACACACACACACACACATATATATATATATATATGTATGTATATATATATATGTATATATATATGTATGTATATGTGTGTGTGTGTGTATATATATATATACATTGTGTGTGTGTATGTGTTTTGACACATGCCACCAAACTGAACCTTGTGTTTTATTCCTTTTGCCGTTGTCGCTCCTTGATTTTGCCTTTGGCTCTGTGGCACCACCAAGTGCTTAGAAGGAGAAGGTTATCTCCAAGTATGAATTGCTCCTCCACTTCTTCCTGAAAGCACCCTGCAGTAGCTGCATGGTTATTCTGCTCCTCTATCTTTCCTCTGCATCATGTTTACCTAGCAACAAGCATCACTCGCAGCTGGCCATTCTATTGGTCATTTGAAAACGCACTGGGGACCAATGGCAGGGCTGTTGCCATGGTGTAGTGTGGAGTTGCCGGGTGGAATTTTGCTGCAAGGCGCTGGAGTCTCAGAGTCCGCTCTCTTCGTCAAACTGCCGGTGTAATCTCTATTGTCTGACCGTTCATACAGCTGAATGTGATTTAGTGGAAGCCAATCAGTATTTTTGTGAAAAGAAGTAAATGGAATACAAAAGATTGCTTTATTCACCATAAGAGGATGTTTCTCAAGACAGGAAATAACATCAGCTGAGCAGAAAACCACAAAACGATCCACATAGTTCCATGTTTTCTTGAATTTTTCATCAAATAAAGCCAAATATGTTGCTGTATTTTTTTTATTTAACACAGTTTAACAAATCAAGTTAATTTTGTACTTTAATAAGGAAACAACTACTTTGTTTTGTAACAAACAGAAAATAACAATCAAGCACTGCTATAAAATGAACAATGCAGAGGTGAAACGTATTCATGAGAAAATAGATGAAGCTCCTGGTGAGTTACACAGAAAAGCATCTGTAATGAGAAGTGTTTCATTTCCAGCAACATTATGCAATATAGGGAACTGCTAACGAAAGATCTAACTTGATTATTTTTTATTTTATACACAAGCTGTCCAGCCTTTAATCTGTGAACATTTTCTAATTCAAGTCTTTGGGTCAGGAAAACGTTTGGCTTTGTAGCAATTTTCTTTCCTTTTTTGTGTTTTTAAGAAGCTTGTAGAGGGTTAACTGTCATTACCCTAACCATTCACTCCTTTTCTTGTTTAAATTCAGTCTAATTAAAAGACATACATGTACTGTAGAACAGGGTTGGTCACGCATTTTCAGCTGGTGAGCTATGTTCACAATAGCCGTTCAGAGCCATCTGATTGTCTGTTTGTGGGTGTGTGTAGTTGGGGGTGAGGTGGGGGTGTGATCACCTTGGTTACCAGCTTGTAATGACTATGCACTTTTGGTCATTTTGTCAGCATTTTTTTAGTCTTGTGCGCATGGGAAATATTTATGTACATAGGGCTGGGCGATATCCCGATATTTTTAAAATATCAATATAATTTCAAACGAGAACAAAGATGACTGTTGCATTTATATCTATATAAATATGCAACCAAAATATTTCTATATTTCTCTATTTGCATATTTCTAAAGTTAGCATACGCAGCTAACCACTAGCTTGCCCTAGCTGGCCGTATTGCCCACACAAGCATGGCATTTGAAGGGTTAACATGGTGCTTCTCGTACACTCACACCTTGACTGTGGTCTTCGTCACCACATGAAAAAACAACACCAACGGATTTTTGGTTTGTGTTTTTTGAACTACAATCTTTCTCTTTTATATTCACCAACAGAGAAGTGACATGTGCTAATTGTCTTTTACTACCCAAAAAACTAAGGAAAACTGTAGTTGTTATATTGTATCAAGGTCTTCCGACCATGCATCATTATGATTGCACTGCCATACGCTGACTTGACTTTGTTCTCTGTGTTTAGCCTAGGTTACAGATCATTTAAATAAAATAAAGGCGCCTTGCCTTTAATCAAGATGTGTCCTGGATCTGCTGGTTTGATGTAAATAAATACATTATTTTTATGAGAAATCATCCAATAAAGTTTGAATTTACTTATTTTTTCTTCTCTTACATTCTGCTCTACAGTGATGGAGTGATTTATAGATACAATGACTGCAGTGACCATAACACCTATAGTGTATAATGTTTCTGTAGCCCTGCTCTTTAGTCGATGTATGATATATATATTTTTTATAAAAGTAAACCGTTTTCAAACTTTTACCAAAAGCACACATCAATTGTTTTGATGATCTTATTGCAAAATCTGAACCAGCTGGGCTATAATTGTTGGTTATGAAGCATCTGGTCCGATCATATAGATTGTTGTTCTGCCTTGTTATAATATAACCTGTTTATTTACCTATATATTTATATTTATTTATATAACCTGTTTTTCTGATTGCGAACTTTTAAATGCAAAGCCATGACTAAACTACATGTATTAAATAGCAATCATTTATAATGTTCATTAGCCTCCATGGCTTTAATAGGCCTTGAATTTGATAAATACAGTTAGTCTTTTCTAGTTGACATTATATGTTAATCACTAATTGGTTAAAGATGAACAGCGGATGCACGATCAGATGTATTAGTGGGAGCAGGCTTTTGATGGGGAGTTTTCCTTTAAGGAGCTGTCAGCTGGTTTATGACACTGCTGAGCTGTTCCCAGGCAGCATTGTGCCTGATTTAGATAGAATGCTCGGGTAGCAACAGTAACAACTAGCTTCGGCTGGTTTGTGAGGACAAGTCAAAGATCTCAGCTGTAGGGAGTCACTCAGGACCATGTGCTTGAGGAGGCCTGCTGCCCCTGCCCCCCGCTCGTGCTGAATTTCTACCCCCACCCTCTCTGTCTCCATGTCCCTCTTTCCATTTCTACCTGACATCTTCAAACAATTTCCGCGTCACTCCCAACTTGCTCTTTTTGACAGTGAGACAGAGTTGAGCGCCCCTCCCACATGCCGGGTCATCGCCCAATCACAGTCAGGGACAGGACTTTCTTCAGCCAATGGGATCGCAGTTGCCTTGGCGTCGGGTAGCAACAGGGCCATGGGAGGGAGCGTGGTGATTGAAGGTAGAGGCTGCGTCTCACAGAACATACCAGGCTGAACAGAGAGAAACTTTTGTGTCCATTAATTACAGTTATGATTTAACTGTGGTCATTTTGAGTTAAATGTTAAAAAACAGAGGTGTTTTTTGAGATCCAGCAACTTGATTAAAGGCAAAGAAAATCATTTTGTTTGATTCTTGTCGGAAAGCTGAGATTTATTAGATCTCCCGCAGAAAGTTGCGAGCTGTTCTGATCTGACTGTTTGAAGAGTGTGGTTATATTGTCCATGTATGCCTGTATAATAAGTTCTAGTATATATATCCTGCTGTTACTATAAATGGACAAGACTGGAGAGGGTTGCTCGGAGAGTCTACTCTGGCCGGAGGGACTCCCGTCCTCCTGCTCAGTATGTCGTTGCGTTTAATGAGTGCAGTTCAGTCTTCTGGTTGTAACCCGTCTGACATTTCTGGTCAAATTAATTCTGCGTTTATTGTGATTTTGTTTTCATCACATAAGTCTGTCCCTGTCGTTGCTATGTGAACGCTAGGTGTTTCTGCTTCACAGTCCAGCTCCGACCACCCCCGCCGCTGGCAGTGGTACGGTCCGGTCTGAGGGCGGGAGCGGGGGGGGGGGGGGGACCGAGCTCCGGAGAAGCACAGATTCCGTCTACGGAGGAGCAGGGAATGGGAAACGGGCGAGAAAAATGACTCAAAACCGCCCTTGTGAGAGTTTCCACCTCGAAGGGATAAAATGATCGCCTCAAATTGAGAGTCGAGGACGGGAGCACAAAGTCTTGTGAGAAAGCCGGCGGAAGCGCACCGAGGAGAAGGCCCCTCAGGAGGCGGCGGACAGAAAGCTCAGGAACTCCGGATTTGGCTTCGTTTGTTTACTTTGATGCATCTTTCAGACTTGTTTGTGAATGTACTAGCGTGTGATTACCTCAAAGTCTGACTCTGTGGTGGATTGTGATATGTTCTGGTGAACGGAAGGCGGTACCGGTTTGCTTTGGTCGGTGTCTTTTTTCTCCTGTGTGCGTTTCTTCGGAACGAGGAAGCCTTTGGATTTGGATCTAAACCTTTCTGGCATCTGTCCTGATGATCGGAGTATCCTGAGTGTCACAGAGTTCAGTTCGTGACTGTGGAGCGCAGTCTGGAACTTACTGACGCGTTTCTGCGGCTGCAACAAGTAGCCCCGGATTGGTTTGTTTACATCTGTTTTCTCGCCCGCTGGACACGCAGACCGCTGTGGAGACAACAGATTATTGTCTGGGACCTGGCGCAGACCGATCCCCTGTTTAAGTCTGTGTTACCAGATCCACTCGGACACCCAGAATCTTGTCGGATCAAGCTCGGTGAAGCTGTTTGTGTCACCGGATTCACAACTCCGCATTGCCCCCACCACCCCCACCCCAGCCCTCTCACTCTCCAGCGGACAAGTCCCACCCGAAAGACAGCTATTTGACATATTTTTAGTTTAAGGGATGGGGTAAAAGGAGACGAGAGGAAATTTGCCCACCTTTTACCTTTTTTTTTCTCCTCCTATCCTCATTGCCCCCCACCACCACCTCACAGGGCAGGCAAGGGTGGCAGAGACCTGACTAAACAGGTTCATGTGCCAGACTAGAGGTGTAGCCGAGTGTGAGAAGTTTAAAAACACAATAGGTTACATATTCAGATTTATGTGGAACTCAATGACCATGTAGCCTGATCCACTGTGTAGGACTGAACTGGACCCACAAGGCCTGCTCTAGATAAAAAGATGGGTACAAATTTAGCCATGCATTTTTGTTTATACCTGCCATGGACTAGGTGAACATATCAAAAATAACTGGAGTTTATGCTTTGATCACATTTGTTTCAACTCCTAATCACACAAGAATTGAAGATAATTCTTTTCACTGCCTGAAAGAAAAGTCACCAGCGGTCTGAAGCCTGCAGCCCACAAGCAGGATGCATGAAACTGCCAAATCCTTCGCAACAAAAGGCTAACCCTTAAAAGCCAAATATCTCTTTCCTTCCTGTCCCCTTATCCACACAAAACAGGAAAAAAAAATATATATATATATATATATATATATATATATATGTTGTGAGAAATCTATATATAGAGAGTAGCTCCACATGAGACAGATTTCATCCTTTATATTTTTACTTCAGAAAGACAAGCTGCCTGTAAACCTGTTGGTTGCCTTAGAAGTATGTCAAACAGAGTGAAAAACTAGCAAATGAAGAAGGTGCCTTCTGATTGGTCGGTCAGTTTCCCACCATTTTAAGCTTCATGTATTTAGTTGGATGTATTGTGTTGAAGTGAACTTTGAAAGTGAAAAAACCCTTTAGTTGCCTGACTACCGCAACCTATCAGTGCTCAGTGTTTCCCAGCTGGACTGAACTTATACCCAAATTTTTCATGGTTGTCACGTCGTCATCTGTGGAGGACAAGACTGTACCTTCCTGCAGGATGGTCCAATCAGATCCGTGGATATCTTCAGCTCTGCTTCGTAAGAACAAGAGTCAGTACACACAAAAAGCACACTAACCCACTGACAAGCTATGATGATGTGAGCTTTGTTTTTGTTTTCACTGTTGGCACAATCCAATCAAGCTGCTTCCATGCTTGTGTGTATGTTTGTTGGTGCTGGGTTGTGTGTCTTGGTGCTGGGTAGCGAGTGTGTGTGTTGGTGCTTGCTTGAGGGGTTTGATTTGTAGGTTGGGTTGACACAAGGAGCAGTCTCTTGTCTTGAGTATGACCTTTAGTGAGAGTATGTGGTTCTGCTCAGGGTTAGTTCAAGTTAGGGCTGCTCGATTAATCAAATTTTAATCACAAATACAATCTACGTTTTGAACGATTATAAAAACATTAAAAGTGGATGATTTTCTCCTTCCTCGCAGTTTACTCCCGCACTGCTCCGAGTGGCAAATCGAACAGACTTTCCACACAGTGTTGCCAACTTGGCAGCTTTGTTTTTATTTCTAGAAACTTTCCAGACCCCCTTTGTGTCTTTTTTTCCCAAAAGCACCTGGCGAACACGCTAGCAACATTTCTGACTGCGCTTATTTTCTCTCTATAGAACTTTGTCAACGAGGTTCTCTGCAGGTTAGCAAAACACCCAGCCTGCGTTCCGGACATTAGGAAAGGGAACGATGTGTGCATGTGCAGCATGATCACGATATATCGACTGACCAATCATAAACCTTTCTCAGTGGATTTCACTTGCTCAAAAAAAATAGCTGTTTTACAAGCTAAATAAATTCAAGGCCATATCTGAAGTGGACTTAAATTTCATTAGGGCTACAAACTCCCACGTAATGATTGTAAGACATGCGTTTGACTGTCTTCCTGCGTTCTCATGCCACACCTTTAATTTCTCATGCTGATAAAGAATAATAGTTCATCGTGCTGCTGTACACAATCCACTAGAGCATCGCTGGAGAGGGCTAACTAGTTATTATGCATCAGGTTGTGGACGTTCACTACACACTACACTTCACATAGAAGTTTATTGTTTTTCTTTTTATAATTACAAATATTAGCATTGTATAGCTCTCTTTTGTTGTCAGTAGTTGGAGTATTTGTTTTCTCACATTGGATTTGTATCGGGTAGGCTAAATAAGTTAAACTTCAGCCTATACTCTTTCAAACTACGACCAATTGTATCGGCTCGTTTAGACGAAGAATCAGGAATTGTGTTTGTGATTATCTTGTTTTTTTCATGTATTTTTCTTTTTCTTTACCTCTGATTGTACCTTGTGCAATGTTATGGCTGAATAAATAAATAAATAAATGTTAGTTAAATATCGTCAAAATAATCAAGATCTCAATTTCAGTCTAAATAATCGTGATTATCATTTTTCCATAATTGAGCAGCCCTATTTCAAGTTAATCCAAACCTTTTATTCCTTTTAGATGAACTGTCGGATTCAGAAAATTTTAGTGGTGGGCACATTTACTGGAGCCAGACTGATAACCAGAGTTTGTTCATTTTTTAACATTGAAGGGAACATATTGCTGGTACTGGTCAGATGTTATGCACTAGAGCATACTGTTGTATCAGAAACTGTATGGTTTACTTCGCCACCTCCATTTCACATGTCACAGTGGCCTCAGGCAGGATACAGAACCACTGAAAGGCCCAGTAAGTGTGTGTGAGGCAGAAACACTAGGGCTGCAAACTGAAGAGCTGCTAGTTGTGTGCGTTACCAGTAGATGCTGTGTAAGAGGCAAGGTTGGGAAAATTTGCCAAGCGATATTCGTGGGCTGTTTAGAATGTTTGTGGGACTGACACACTTCACGCAGCAACCCACCAATCTCAATCGTTCTTAATCAGTTTGCAGAAGCAGACCACAAAGAGTCCTCTTGTGAGAGACTATTGTGTGTTTTCCACATTTCTTTGGCTATTTCACGTGTCAGTCAACATACATACGGTGTTTTAATTGGTTTGAGCTGCACCTGTGTGAATAGTGTGGTTGCAATTAGGGCTGTCGCGGTTGAGGAATTCCCCCTGCGGTGATTCAGGGTGGCTTAATATTGTGGTGTGCGATATTATTGCAGCCCTTTTTTATTGCAGTACTATCTAAACATAATGTTTACACATTTAAAAAAGGTTAAAAATTGCCGTGCCTTCTTTAATAACACTTTACTGAATGCAGATCAAAGGGCAGTAACAACACAAATCGCAGTAACGCTTGTTTCTCCGACAGTCGGAGTCCGACTGAACTTAAAAACAACAAAATTCAGGAGATTAAACTTTTAAATGCAAATTTGGCTGCAGCATCTAACAAATAAGAAACAAGTCCCCATTTTGTTTAGTTGTTTAAAATCAAGCATAAAAAATTACATGTACCGGGCGCGCGCGCGCCGGGGGGCGGGCGCACTATCATTTCACTTTCACACACACGAATGACGGTGATTTATAGCTCGGTCACGTCCTTGTTACCTACAAGGAAAACCAGCATGTTAACCATGTACGGTTTGAGAGAGGATCTGAGAGGGGTGGCAACATTTGCAGCAACACTGAAAACCCTCTCGGATGGTGCGCTCGTTGCACTAACACACACGTACTTGCGTGCGACTGGCGAGCAAAGGGAATCTCTCCCGGTTGTTGCTCCACCATGTCAGGGGGTTTCTTTAGGGTGGATGCATTCCTCCTGCAGGTAGCGAGTGAGCTCCAGCTCGGCTCAAACTCTCTTCGGGACGGCTGCAGAAGCAGTGCTTGTCCGGGACTTCAGCAGGTCTCCGAGCATTTATTTATTTATTTATTTTTGCCGCTGGTGGCAGCTCTGTCTCGGCCAAGGACTCTGACTGCGCAGCAGCTGACGTACTGAAAACCAAAGTGCTCCCAAAGGAGCGAAGTAACATTTCGTTTTGATACCAGTGCAGCCATCCTTCTCAACATGCATCATTGAGTTGAACCAAGTTCAGTAATCGCGGTGGCGCATGATGCAGCGCGGTGGGCTTCTTCATATTGCGATATTTCATTTTTGCGGTTACCGCGACAGCCCTAGTGGCAATAGGGCTTGGCAGTGTGTCGTCAATTCAATATGATACGTTGAGCAGCTCACCGCCATAACAATAATGGGCGATAACTACCGTACTGCCAAACAAGAGTTTGTCCACTAGATGGGGCTGTGATAGCACAATAAACCTATTCATTGCAATTACTTTATTTGCTACGTAATAAAAATTGTAAAACTAAGTACTAAGTACTTTTGGTTAAGATTTACTAATTCTAAGCACAGCTGTACAAAAGCTAACTAGAATTTCCTGCAAACAGTATTCAAGAGTCTGTCTCTTATATTTTAAACATAGACATTACAAAGAGCTTGTATCACTTGAATATTATCACATTTGAGTTGCTAAGTAATCAGGTGTGGGCCAAATGTCGGTGTACCGAAGATGGTGGTGGATGTGTTATCTTGGCTTGTTTCTACAGTTTGACTTTTTTTATATCAGCATCATTCTTGCTTAATCTCACATTTCACCAAATGATTGATGAAGCATTTGTTTGGGTACAAGATTTACCATGGCCACTTCCTGCTGCAGAAGCTAGCTGAGCATCCGCTTACTCCTGCTGCTGGCCCTTATCCACTGCCACCATTCGTTGCTTCAACATTTGAATCATCCTCCATCACCGTCTTTCTCTTCTTGTTACAGACTGGAGGGGTCTTAAAGGGACACGGACATTGCGTAGTACAAGTACATGCGTCGTTCCATTGTTAAAAAAAACATTTACGCAGGTTATGGTCACAAATTTTGGTAATGGTAAATTTTCAGTTTATCAGCCGATAGATTTTGCCCCAGTAGAGGGCATAACCTTTCACCTATTGTGTCCTTATTAGGCATATATCATTAGTACCACAATAATCATCCTTCTAATGATTGCCCTTTAAAAAGATGGGTGAAGGGCTTGACCGATCGCTAATGGTTGATAAATTGGTCTAATCACCCAACCTCAGTGAGAGGTCACTGAGACTGTAGAAGACAGTGAGAGTGGTTTTGGTCATCTAATGTAGGATTGACATTCAACAGTATTTGTGAGCTCTCTCATTCGTTTATCTGTTGTAGGTCTTATGTTTGTAAAGGATGCAAAATACATCGCAAATGTATTGTCATTGCGATTTTAGCATGCGCAATACGAAGGCAAGGATGATCGGCTAAAATGTATGCTACAAACCGAAGCATGTTTTTGGCAAATCAAATAGAGCCCTTCACCCATATGGCCAATCGGGTGGGTTCTTATCTGTTAGATGCCCTCCTCCAAGGCGGACAGCACATAATTTGGATGGCAAACACCTGCGCAAGCTTTGTTCTGCTCTTTCTGCTGATTCTGCTTTTCCCAGGATCCACTGATTGCCTTTTCTTGTTAATTTTCTTTTTTCTTTTCCTCGCATCTTTTGATCACATTTTTTGCTTTTCCCATTTTTTATGATCTAATAATACATATAGGGGAAGCTGTACCTTAATTTAATCACCTTGAAATTAATTTAATGTTTTTAAGCACATGAATTTGCCTGGGGTTTGTGTGTTTTCTTGTCAGGATGATAAAGACACAAGCTGATGACTCACATATATATTTCCCATATCACATTGACTTTCCTTATATTGTGCAAATGAAGAGAGCGTTTAAAAAATTTCATCTCAACAATTAAGTTGAAATAAAAAAAACTGTCATTTATTTATCTTTTTGGTAAACTGATTTCCAATTGGTGATACTAACCGTATGTCATTTATCCACACAGTAAACATTAAACCATTAACTGTTTCTGTCAGCTGAGCATCTACAAAGTACAGGTGGTGGTGTTGCATTCTGTACTTTTTAACTTTTCCTTTTTCCAAAACAAGAGCAATTTATTTTTGTTGTTTAGAATAGTTGTTTCTTGTTTTTATTTTCTGACTAGAAACTGTTTTTCTCCATCTGACATGAAGAGGAACCATGGTTCCTGTTCCTTCGATGTGGCTGTTTATAATAAGTTGATGGTGGCTTTAGTCATCTGACATCGTAGTGATGACCGT